ACAGTTTTTAGAGAAGAAAGAAATCACCCACTGACTTTCAAAGTTGCTAACGACTTTCTACTTCGAGGATCTTGATAGAAATGTAGTGGAGTGAAAAGTACAATATTTGTCTTTCAAATGTAGTGAAGTTAAAGTCATAAGTTCCCAGAAAAAATAATACTCAAGTAAGGTACAGATACTCAAAAAGTGTACTTAAGTACAATACTCAAGTAAATGTACTTAGTTACTGTCCGCCTCTGCAAATTACACTTTTACATTGTTTCTAAAAATACAGTAATATTGTCTTGCTGTGAATATAAAAATACATTTTTTTATTTGATGTCTATTATATCAAAGAGAGATATTTTAAATAAGTATTAATTATAGGACATAACATAAATGTCATTTCTAAGCTATAGAAAGAAGGTTTAAAATGAGATCTTCTCTCTCTCTCACCTTTCTTTGGAGAGGCTTCCTGTTACTATATGTGTCTCACTTCCTCGGGAATGATGCTCTATTTGTGATCGATCTCAGTGAAGTTGGAAGTCAACTCAAGCATGACAAAGGGGAGGAGAAGCTTTACTAGTGGTGAGTGGTTTATGTGACCTGTAAAATAAAGGGTGAAGTGTTTGATTTGGGGGCGAGGAGTTTTGCGCTATTTTAGGTCTCCGCACCCTTCCTTTTACAACAATATGTTATCTACAACTTTTAAAACATCTAGAAAAGTACTTTGTGTTACCTGCATGAACATTGGCCTTTTTGACAGATGCAGCAGTGATCACCAAATACATTTCCTTGTCATTTGAGGTATTGTCATTAAGCTGATGTTAGAAATGTATGGAGGTTTGGTAAATCATAATTACAACACATGCCAAAATTCTGAAGTAGAAAACTTATTTAACTTTAACTTTTAATTATTAGATAAAAAGTCAAAATTATGAGATAAAACACTGTCAATATGACATAAAATGTCAAAATTATTAGTTAAAAAGTCATAATTATGATGTGAAAACACAAAATTATGACAAAAACTTTTGACTTTTTTAATTTCATAATTATTACTGTCTTTTTATTTGGTAATTTTGACTTATCTCATAATAAGAATGTCTGCAAATTATTCAGTTGCTAAATAGTAGTTTTCTGCCATATGATTCAGGCAAGCGGATCCACAGTGTTTGGTGTCTACATTCTGCTGCTATGAATTGTTGTCATTGTGCTTCGTTTTGATTAGTTGTTGGCATATGGACGATTTTATGCACTAGAAAAGTACTTGGTTTGCTCATCCAAGCAGAAAAACAATGTTGCTAACGTAACCCAACATAAGGAAGTTTAGAGAATTAATTTCATTTACAAATAAGGTATGAAAGTGGGCATACTTTTACACCTGCCATAGTGTTTTTTTTTCTCTCTCTCTGATTTTAGTATGTGTCTTTGAGTCCTAAGCTGATGTGCTGGGCCTCAATGTAGAGAGTTGGATGTTTCAGCATACCTGGTTAAAAAAGTCACTGTTCACCCCTGAACTGCACCATAAACCCTTTTTGAGCAAAAAAATAAAAAAAGATATACTGGAATGTGACTAGTGTAGTGTTTGCACAATTTTTCAGACAGGTTTTTAGTGAAGAACACTTGACACTGGTACAGAAAGGCCCTAGAGCAGGCATGGGCAAATTCGGTCCTGTAGGGCCACTGTTCTCAAGTTCAAGTTCAAGTTGAGCTTTATTGTCATTCCGCTACATGTGTGGACATACAGCGGAATGAAATGTCGTGTCTCGCAGGACCACGGTGCTACATAAACAAACATAAATATAAACATACAACACTAGACTAAGAACAATTTTTAGACCTACATAGCTAACTATCTGAAGCGGTAATCTAACTATACATATACTATAATTAGTTGACTATACATACACATAACCTAAGACAGACTATACAAGTACTTTACATAATAACTGTGTATGATATTGTGCAAAAGAGGTATTTAAGGTTAAGAATCAAGTAGTGCAGTATAATTTGTGGTGCATTCACAAGTAAACATTTGTGTTATCTTATTAAGTCCTGTAACATGGAATGTTTATAAGAAGGTGTACATTTCTTCTGAGTTTAGCTCCAATCCTGATCAATAGGGTTGCCAACTGTCCGTATATTGGGAATAATTGATTTGTCCCATACGTGACCTCCCTTATCCCATTTATTGAATGCTAGCTGATCTAAACACTGACTGATACAACAGCAGCAGTGCTGATCATGACACTTGAAAATGATCACCGACACCTGTCATCATCCCATCACAGCCCCCTCACGCGCATGATCAGTTAAGTAAATCACAAACTGTGAACATAACTGTTCGAGGAAGGCCTACGGAATCCTCTGCTGGCTGGTTGCTCTCACTTCACAGCAAGCGGTGCTTGTGCTAACGCAATTCCCTTCACCGTCCGTTTTGACTTCGGCAAGTCAGTTTTGGCGAATGCAAACAACGTGATTATTTTTCATGAGTCCAACATCCAGCCGTGCAAGAAAACATGCAATCTAACTGAGACGTGATCAGTAAGGGAAGTTGTCGTTCACTATTGTAATGTTGTTAAATAGAGAAAAACATTTTACATTTAAGTAACTTCTAGCGTATTCTTAACCTTGGACCTTATTCTTGAAACACAAAACGACCAATAAAAAGGTGTCAAGCACTAAAAGCAGCACATATTTAATCTAGAAGTTCTCTTTAATTTAAAAATATGCATTTTCATATACTGTATATACATACTATACACACACACACAAATACATACATATATGTGTGTGTGTGTGTGTGTGTGTGTGTGTGTGTCCTTTATTCTGTCCCTTATTTTTCCATGAAAAACCATGATTGTCCGTTATTTTCCTGTTCTGAAGTTGGCAACCCTACTGATCAAACACACCTGAACAAGCAGGACACTGGACCTCCTGGACCGAGTTTGCCTATGCCTGCCCTAGAGTCAAAGTCACAAGTCTGGCCATGTTCTGGTTGAAATTTGAGAATGATATACCAAAATCAAAGTGTGAAATTGTTTTCTTAGGCTAAGTCCAGGTGTATTTTCTTAAAAAGTCATTAGGGAGTGTTGAGGTACATACACTAACAGTATACGCAAACTATATAAACAAGAGTTTAAGGATTTGTTAGATCAGTTAAAATCTGTATTAGGATGCTGATTAATAAAGCGTTTTTGCATTATTAAAATAAATTTGCCACATCTTTAGACATCTAAAAGCAGCTGAGGACAAAGGTATGTTAAAAGATGACGTACGGTTTCATAATAGTGCAGTGAATCTGTTGAGCTGTTTGACTTCATTGTTTACACATCAGGGCTTGTCTCTGGTTTTCTTATCCAGTGTATTGCACTGCTGTAACACTTACTAATTCTTTTGCTTTTCATCTGCGTCTATGAGGTCAGCTTGTACAAATACTGTAACCAACCTCCTGCCCCTTAAGTAAATTATCTCAAATGAGAAGTCAAATATGAATATGAAATTCCATACGTTTTACAGTTCTCAACAGTTGTGAAATACTGTATTTTATATATGTGAAACGAAAAAATTTTACATTTACATACTCAGCAGTATTTTCATATTTAAAAGTTCTATTTATACCTATTAATTATATTTGAAAAGAAGAAATATTACATACTCTGCAGTGTGTTTTTGTTTTACGTAACATAGAAAGTTCTACAGTCAGTTCTTTATTCTGGTCTCTGTAGCCTCATACAGACGTGCACAGGCCACATGATTTCACAATGCCTGAAGATAATATGTTGCACAACTATATTGTCAAAATCACACTCCACAGTTTCAACCGTCTTGGATAGGTTTCAAGTAACGGATCTGAAACACAACCCTGGTTTCATTAGCATTAGAAACAAGAAGCTTTGAGTGCAGTTACATGAACAACTGTTAAAATGTCGAGTTGTGTGGACATTTCTGTATTTTTTTAACTTTATTTAATCTGTGATGCAGAAATACTGACATTAACATTAACATGAACAAATAAAAAGTAACTAAAAAAGGATAAAGGAGTTCAAATAGTTAAAATTGAGTTACTTGGACTATATGTCTAAAGAGGGTCACTTGAATGAATATATTGACATATTTGCATGGGCAAGTGGAAATATAGAGCAAATGTCCATCTACTCCTTATATTCTGCTGTGATAAATGATGTTAATCTCCCACAGGTTACTGCTGTACTTGAAGTAGGCCTATACAGTTCAGACATACAAAAAGAGACAAATACTGCTTCTCTGTGGTGGACAGAATCATTGCAGGTCACAAATTATTCTGTCATTGTTGCCATTGGTTGATTTGTGATCAGTCATCAATAAACCTAATGAATAATAAGTAAGCTTAAGTTATCAATTTAAAACTGTCTATTAATATACTGTATATAAATAGTCTGTCATAAAGAGACTAAAGTCTTGGGCCATGTTTTGTTTCTTTACCACAATCCAGGAAACACACTGTTATGAATAGATTCATGAATAAATATTACAGGTTAGATCTACAAGTGGACTTGCCTAAATTAATGTCTATATATCTGAAGACATAAAAACACTGCTCTGGTTTTACACGTTGATCTACAGTTGATGTTGTAAACTTGTAACTGATTATAAACCACACTTTGCAAAAATCTGATCGAATATGAATAAGGATCAAGCACTATAAAGAATATGTAGGATCTGTTGTACCATGAAGTCATTACTCCATACACAATTCTCACTTTGGAAGTGAAATATTTACTTCTGATATAAGCAGATACTATATTTTAAAAGTTTTTGTTAGAAATAAAGATCATAGCCTGTTTACAGTGAAATGGCTGTGCTTTATTCTTATAAATTTATATTACTGTGTGGCCAGATAGGATGTGGTTAAACTTCTGGGAAGGTGTCATCACACATCAGAGCTGTTCTGTGAAAATTCAAGAAGCGTATGTTGTGTTAACATGTAAACTCAAATGAAAAACAATTGCACTGTGACAATGCCCTCATCACAAATCATATGCAACACTTTGAGTGTGAAAATATTATATACCGGTCTTGCTGAGGAAATTTAGCATATTATAAAACAGATTAAGAAGAATGCTTTAACCAAAGGCTGTTATGGTTCGATATTTATATATACTGTGGGCCCAAAGCCATAAGTATGTCACAGTACCTTTACTGGCTTGTTTTTTTCGAGTTATATTTTTCAAGTTATACAGGGTAGATGAGACGTGAAATAACAAGGAGGAGCGAGAGACACAATAGCACATGAGCTGGGACTCAAAGTAAGGTACAGCTACATTATATGTCTAAACGCTGCCACAAGACTATGGCTCCAATGGTTTGATGTAAATTAAAACCTTCTGAAACCAGATTATTATTGTTGTTGCTTTAATTGCTGGCAAAACAAAACACCCAAATCAAAAATACTGCAAATATAAATAAATTAACCAATACACCAAATTACACCCGAGTACTACACTAGACTTATGTGTCAACCTTTTGCTGAGATAATCCTCACAAATAGAATGCTCTTACTTGCATGTTAGTTTGGTCAGAAATCCTCATAAATGTAA